CGCCCCAGGCTGCGAGAGATTGAACTTGGAGCAACGGATGTCTGAATCCCAGTTCCCTCGCCAACTCTCTGTGGGGCTGGGCGGGGTCTCACCTGGAAACCAGGCCCCAAAGGGGCCTCCCCTGGCCGTGGTGAGGAGAAAACAAGGCCCTGGCTGTGCACGGAGGCTTAAGTGCAGCCCGGAGTCACTCTGAGAGGCTGGAGTTTCAGGCAGGCAGGTTCAAATGGTAGCTGCGTGAACCAGGTGCCCCACGTGGCTGGGCCTCAGTTTCCCCATTGTCCCCGCTCACGGGGTTCTTATGGTAATTACATGATCTAAAAAGCTTAGCCCAGGGCCTGTCCTTAGCGCAGACACTATGGCGCCGACAGGTGTGGGGCCGTCTTAGTATTGCCATTCCGATGATCCTATTGGGAGCTTACAAGCCCATGCTGCTTACCCGATTCGGGGTTTCCTGTCCCAGCTGAGCCCAGCCAGTGCTCCGTGTGGCTCTCCCAGCTCCAGGATTCCCACTTGCTTGTGTCTGAGGGGCGGCCCGGTCATCCGCCGTGGGAGGGGGCGCCAGCCAGCCCAGAATCGCTCAGCATAATTGAATTGTTACCGACGTGCCCTGGTGACTCTGGCCCACATACATGATAGCGCTCCCAGGGGCTGAACTGGCTCCCACCTCGGAGACCTCCTGGCAGCCTGGAAGGTGGCCCCATCAGGCCGGGAGTTGGGGGCCCGAGGGGATTATAGGACGTGTGTGTACTCGGGGTCCCTGCCTCTGCCACCGACTTGCTGTGTCCCCTTGGTCAAGTCCCTTACCCTCTCTGGGGCTGTTTCTGTCCCTCAAGTCAACTCCTGTGTCTGTGTCTGAGGGTGGGAGGTTGGGGAGAAGAAAGGAGCCCGACTTGGGGGCTCATTTGAGGCTCCTCTCCCATCTCCCCCAGCTCTGGCCCACTTCCCCAACCTTTCTCAGTCCTGCCTCTTAGGCTCCCACAGCAGCTAACGTTCACTGCCTGCAAAGTACGTCTTGGCATGAGCCCCATTTTTCAGCTAGGCAAACTGAGGCTCGGAGAGGTAAGGTAACATGTTCAAGGCCCATAGCCAGGAAGTTATCAGATCCTGTGCTTGAACCCGGGTCTGTCTGACTTTCCCTGAGCCCATGTGCCCACCCTCCCTGCTACTCCGCCCTCCTTTCTGCCCCATCTTCCCCTTGGCCAGGACCACAAGTTGGGGGAGACGCGCCTAGCCACCTCCCTCCTCCCCTCCCCGCCCCAGGCCTGCCCTGGGCAATCAGGTTCTTCAGATATGATTTGGGATTCTAATGAATGGAATGATTTGGCATTTAAATAATTATCCACTCTCTGTTAGTGCTGCTGAGTCGGGAGAAATTTCCGCATCTTATTTATGAATATGGTTTCTCCCCATCATCGGGTGGAGATTTCCCAGACACCCCCTCCCAGGGCCTCCTCTCTTAAATGCCTTTCCAGCGCGCCTCCAGCGGAGCCTTCCCCCACACGAGCCCCTAAGTGCCTATTAACAACGTCTCGCTTCCGCTATCAGCACCCGTTCACGCCCCTTTTTTATCTTTACATTTCAATATCATTACAAATCCTAGTGTTATTCAAATTGCATCAATTATTCAATTTCTCCTCCTGGAGTGGAGGCAGCGGCTTCCCAGTGGCTGAGCAGGAAAAAAGCAAAGGCCTTTCAAGGAGGGCTTGAAATTCACGGGGGGATTCAGCCGGCTTCCATTAACCTGGGCTTTTTGGCTCCCACAAACCGTGGCATTGATTAAAACACACACGCACAGTTTCAATTTGGTTCGGGGAGAAAGCCTGCTGCCGAGAAGCACTTGAAGAACGGTCTGGGAGATAAAACGCTGCCCTGGGATCTTCATCCCCTGAACATTTATTGAGCCCCTGCTGTAAGAAGAACGAATGAGCACCTACTGTGTCCCAGGCCCCACTAGGGTCTTTACAGAAGATCCCTCCTCTATCTTCAGGACCAGCTGGTGGGGGGGTGTTTTTTATAACAGGAAACCGAGGCTCAGAGAGGGGAGGTCTCTAGCCCAAGGCTGCACAGTGGTCGAGACTGGTTTGTCTTCAGGACCCGGCCTCTTAACCATTATGCTATCAGCTAGGGGGGTAGGGTTTGGGTGACCCCAAGGAATAGCCAGAGAAGGGCCTGAGGGAGTGGGAAGGAGAGAGAATGAACACTTCTTCCCACAGGGCCCTTTACTGAAGATTCACATGAGAAATGGTTCACTTCTCATTACTCATAAAAGCCATTTTTCCCCCCCTTAGCAACTGGGAGTTTCTTGGCTTCTGGACACTGAGTCATACCGTGGTCACATTTCTCTCTTTGCTTTGGCTGCCAGGAAACTCTGAGCCCACTGCTTACAACCGTACAGGAAATTACCCCGTCACGTTGCCATCCTGGTCCACTCACCCAGGTCTTTCCTGTTTGGGTGTGGCGTGTATGTTTGCAAACCACTTCTAAGCCTTTCTGGAATGAGGCCAGCTATAAGCACCTTTTAAAAAAGGCTTTTAAGCATCCATTATGAAGTGTTGATTTTATGAAAGTTCTCATTTAACCGTGGCAAGAGGTTTATTCCCACTTCACAGATGATGAAACCGAGGCCCAGAGAGGCTATGTGACTTGCCCAAGGACACACAGTAAGTGGCAGAACCAGGGCCGGAACAGAGTGTGCAGCCCCCAGCCCCAAGCTCTTCCCATGACCCAGGGGAGACAGAAGGCCAGCGAGTGTGGTCCTGCCCCAGGCTCCAACGTCCCTGTTCTGCATCTTGGTCTGGCAGGAAGGTGTCAAGAAAGAGCATCTAATCATGAGTCGGTGGACATGGTCCCCACCACCTTGCTGCGTGACTCTCTCTGGGCCTCAGTTTCCCCACTGAACACCGTTGGGCCACCCTCCAAGGCCCCATGCAGCTCTGACCTCACCTCACTGTTTCTGCCCGTTTTCCCAGTGCATCCCTCAGCATCTGAGCCACGGTCGCCACTCCCTGAGGCAGGTGCAGACCCTGGGGAGTTGTGTCACCTGGTTCCCAGGCTTTCCTGATGCCACCGACAGGAGGAGGGAGCCCCCGTGGTGGTGACAGGGCTGTGACAAGCGTCTCCCACACCAGCCACCTGAGTGCTCCGTGAGCCTGGGTCCCCCGGCAGGCAGCACCTTCCTGGCAAGACGGGAACTCCCAGGACGGGGACGGAGGTGGGGTGAGGATGGGGAGAGGCTGAGATCTGGTTGGGGCTCGTCCCTTCCCGAACTCGAGGGCTCTGGGTCTAGGGTCCGGGGGCCGCAGCCTGGCCTCGGAAGGTCTGGGCTCCCAGCAGGCAGTCGGCCTCCTAGACTGACAGGCGCTGGAGACTGGGGGTGGGGAGCTCCATTGCAGGTGAAAGGGACCACGTTTATGGAGTACTAAGTACATAATTTTCCACTGGAGGCTGCAAACTGGCAGTCCACGCATCAAATTCAGGCCACAAATACGGTTTTTCTAGCCCATGTTGTGCTTTGAAAAAGCTCAAATTCATTTTTTTTTTCTGACACTTACAAATAGGGAAATCCTACAGAAAATCAGGATTTAGGGTTCTGTTGAGAAGTCAGACCACCAGGCACTGGTGAGCCCCCTTCCCCACAGGATTGCTGGGTGTTTAGGTGGAGCTTGCTTCTCCTTGCCTGCTCCGCCCCCCCCCGGTCCTGCTGTCTCCCTTACATTGCCTGCCTGGCCCCCGTGGCCACCCCGAGTGCTCACCCCCTCTTATAACCATAAATGCCTTCTGGAGAGGTGTTATTATTCTCATTTTATAGATAAAGAAACTGAGGTCCTCCAGGTTACACCCATCACACCAAATCCCACAACAGGTAAGCACTGGGGGCAGGATTTAACCCCAGCCCTTGGCCCCCCAAACCCCTCCTGTTTCCACCCCCCACTCTCTCCCACCCAGAACAGGCAGCCCCAGCGGCCCCCCTTTGCACCGGGTCCCTAAGTCCTTGGCGTCCTGGTGTAAAATAAATGGCCTCGGATGTCCTCTCAAGCTTCAATGGGTGTGGCAATTGGAATTTGGGCTCCCTGGGGTTGGAACCAGGAATCTAACCAGCGGTCAGGCTCTGTGCTGGCAACTTTGACCACCGTCTTTTTTCACCCTCATGGCTCTGTAGGAGGTTTAACAGACCAGGAAACGGAGGCCCTTGCACCATCCTCCACAGCCCCATACCTCTGCCTTCCTTTTAGCTGTTTGATGTGTCCTGCCCGCTTCCTACCTCAGGGCCTTTGCTCATGCTGTCCCCTTTTCCTGGACTGCTCTACACCCTCCCGCACGCAAGCCTTCATCAACTTCCCTGGCTCTCAGAACAAAGTCTGGCTCCTCCTGGTCTTGTCTCCTAGAGTTCCCTGTACCGTTTATAGTATTAATAATGATAGCAATGCCAGCTAAGACTTACTGAGCACTTTCCATGACCCAGGCACTGTTCTAAGCAGTTTGATTATGTTATCTCACCCTCTGAAGTGGCTGCGATTATTGCCCTCCTTTTACAGATGGAGGTACAGAGAGGTTAAGTAACTTGCCCAAGGTCACACAGCTAGTGTTGAAATTTTTACCTTGCGCTGTGTGACTATGGGACTATGCCCTGGGCGACCTGCTCTTGATAAATAAATATGCTTTAAATGAATGAACACACCAGGATTATGGCTCCAAATTCCATGCGCATGACCCCAAGGGTCTATGACTGCCACCTCCCCCTCCTGCCAGGGTGTCTCACCACTGGGGCTGCCCCCAGATCCTGTCTGGCTTCCAAGGAAATGCTAAGTTCGCCAGCCTCCCCACCCTCACCCCCAGTATCACCAGTCCGAAAGGGGCCTGATAGGATTCAGTCCCGCAGACGGAGTCATCCCCCCGCCCCCAGGCTGGGGCCGTGGACCGGCCTCTAGGAAATACCCAAGGAGCCCCTCACTCTCCTCTTGGACCCTCCTTCCTCACCGCCCTCCCCTGCACCAGTTTACCGCCAATGACATTCAGATAAATGGCTGCTGTCAGCCAGGCCGGTCCCACGGAAAGGCATGTCGCGTGATGTATGGCACCATCTTCTAGAACCACAGAACTCACTGCTCAGGGGCTCCGAGGGAGTGCTCCACCCCCCCCCCCGTCAGCCTCTGACCCTGGGCCACATCTGGGCTTCGGGGTCCCCCTCCTGTTCAGCCCTGGGGATGAGTCTCCCGTCAGACACAATTACTGGGGTCTTTAATCACATGCTGTTAAGAGCCCGGCCCACTCCCCTACTCTTGGGGCCACTGTGCAACCCCAAAGCCAACCTCCATTCCTGTCTGCTCTAGGTGTGCCCTCCTGGATTATTCTGGGGCGGAGGGGGCTGCATGGGTAGTGGCCATTGCTCCGACCCTCTGTTTCTGGGCCCAGAGGGAGGAGACCCAGCCCAGCCCAGCCCCCAGTTGGGCAGCTAATGAAACTCTGGTTTACGATTGTGTATCCCTTCAGTCAGCTCAGCTGGTGTGGGGAGATCGGGGCATGAGAGGCCCTTCCTTATATGCAGCAAAACTGCTGCCATCATATTGAAATGTGGGGCCGAAGTATTCAATTGCAGAGTACAAAGTCACATGGGATGCTGACCAAATGACTAGAGCCAGCCAACAGGAAGACTTGGGGAGCAAATCCGAGTATAATCAAACTCACACCGTGAGCATGGACATGTGGTCCTCGAAACAACCATCTGAGATCGTTGCCATTACCCCATGTCACAGACGAGGTAGACCGAGGTCCAGAGAGTTTCACAAACCTGCCCAAAGACACACAGCCGGTAAATTGCTGGGCTGGGATTTGAGTCCAGGAGATGGGGCTCCAGAGTCTCTGCTTCAGCCACCAGCCCAGGCTGCCTTCTGGAGCTAGACGGAAGACCCAGTGAGAACGAGCAGGTGTGGAGGTCCCCCCACCCTGGCCCTGGGCACCCATATCACCAACCCTCCCTTAGAAGCATCAGCGCCAATGGTCCTCAGTGGCTAATCTAGCCTATTTTTCTTCCCCCAACCCCTCTGATAGAATCTAATGGCCTTTCGTATTTCCTGGTCCCGAGCTGTGGGAATCTGCTTCCTCACCCCTCGGGTACCCACCTGGTCACCCCTTCCTGGCAGAGAGAGAGTGAGAACATGTAAGTTCTGGTGTCTCTTCTTAGAAGAGCACTAATCCCATCATGAGGGCCCCACCCCAATGACCTCATCTGAACCTAATCACCTCCCAAAGAAGCCACCTCCGAATACCATCACATCGGGAGGTGGGGCTTCAGCATGGGAATTGGGGGTGGGGGGATGGGTGGAGGCCCAACTCAGCCCATAGCACCATGTGCCGGGAAGACAAAACTTTCACATGGGGAACTAGGTGGGCGGGTTCCACTCCTGGACTCATGTTGACTCACCAAAAATTTGCAGAGCCCCCGATACGAATGTGACACCATTGTGGGCACCGAGAACAAGACAGATGGGGTTCCGGGGAGGGAGAGGACAGCACACAAACTAATAGGGAGGGGCCAGCGCAGTGCAGGGAAGAAAATAAAACAGGGGGATGGGAAAGAGAGTGATCGAGGAGTCAGCAAGGGCCTCTGCGAGGAGCAGGCCACGGGGCTGAGTCGGGAGGATTGGAAGCCAGCCCTGTGAAGAGCTGGGGGATCAGCATTCTGGGTGGGGGGAACAGCAAAGGCAATGGTCTGGAGGTGGAAAGAAACAGGATGCTTGGGGAATCAAGAGAGGGCTGAGGGGCTGGATCAAGGGCAGGGGACAAGCACCACCCATTGTCCCTCGGACTGACCCTGTGACTCTTGGCCAGAAAAGAGGGCGAATGGCCAGCAATGAGGAAGGAGGGGTGGGTGGCGTGGTCCACTCTACCCAGCCTGTAGCAGTCAGCTCAGCTTCTGTAACAAAAGAACCACACACTGAGGGGCTTACATGACGGAAATTCATTCTCTCGCAGTCCTGGAGGTGGGAAGCCCCAGAGCCAGGTGCCGGCAGGTTCGGTTTTTTGGGTCCTCTCTCCTTGGCCTGTAGACATGGCTCTCTTCTCCTCTTTGTGTCCTCACCTGGATTCCCCGGTGCGTGTCTGTGTCCTAATCACTTCTTATAAGGACACCAGTCATATCGGAGCAGGTCCAACCCACATGACCTCACTTTACCTTAGTTACCTATGTAAAGGGTCTATCTCCAAATAGAGTCACATACTGAGGTCCTGGGGGTTTGGGCTTGAACATATGAATGGGGGGGGGAGCAATTCAGCCCCTAGTAGTGTCCCACCCACATCTTCTCACCCTTATCAACAGGGTGCCCATCAGCCCAGCCTCCAGCTCACAGCACCTACATTTCTCAGCCTGAAGGCTTTCTCGGAAGTCTGTCTTGTCACCTGTAAGCCAAGCCGGATGTACTGGGAAATTTGTGCCCTCCCTCTCCCCCACAGTGGTGATGCGGGTCGATTTGTAAATACCTGTAAATACCCCCGGCTCCCGGCTCCTTGAGGAGTGTGGGTACTCCACGCTGTGTTCCAGAGTCCCCGGGGGGCGTCACACACCTTTTCCTGGCTGCCTCCTCCCCAGGAAGAAATCCCAGGGTGAGCTTCATCTCCAAAACAGACTTGCGGTCGCACCCTTGTCTCAGGCGGAGCGGGTGGCTTGTCCCTCCAGACCCCTGGGAGCTTGGGGATAGTGAGCACTGCTGAGGACTGTCCCCGGAAAGTGGCAGGCAGAGTGAACGGGGTCCTGGGCCTCAAGTAACAGTCAGAGCCACCATTTACAGCGTGTCTCCTTCCCCCGCAGGCATCGTGCCTAATACTCTACCAGCCTCCTCCTCTTAAACCCACATCACCTCCGCGTGGCGCAAGTTCTATTCTTAGCCCCCTTTTACAGATGGGGAAAACGAGGCTCAGAGAAGTTGTCACTTCCCCGAGGACGCAGAGCTGGGTTCGCAAACAACACTCTATGTACCGCCATGTAAGGTTGGGACCTCAGATGCCCCGCGTCCCAACTTCCCCGGGGTGGCAACTGCTCAGGGCCCCCTCGGTGTTCGCCGGGCCCGCGACAACTCCCTGCCCCGCACAGCCAGGACCGTTATCTGTTTTGTGCACGGCCTGCGCCCGTCAGGGTAATGGACTGTGCTTGTCCTAGTGGAGGTGGCCTCTGGCAGGGATGATGTATGAGGCGCTACTGTTTGATATGAATGCATTGGGCGACATTCCTGATAAAGACTTTACCAGCAGAGCCATGCCATGCTGGCAGCAATCCCTGTGGAGGGAGGCGGGCAGAGGCAGAGAAGCCCGAGGCCCCATCAAGCAGGGCTCCCAGGGATGTGGCGGTGGGAACCGGCCGCTTTCAGCGAGGCGGAGACCCGGTCACTCTTGCTTTCAAACTTTTGGATCCTATGTCTCACAGCCTGACAAGCAGCAGAGTGTAGACAGTGAGTCTCAGACTTGCTCAGTCTCAACGTGTGAGAATCGCCCGGGGAGCTGGCTAAAAAGGCAGGGTCCTGGGTCCGCACCCGGATCCACTGAAACAGAATCTCCAGAGTGACGCCTGGCATTCTGCCTTTTCACACCAGTTCCCTCCATGAACCTAGTATAGTTGGGCCAGTCCCCCAACGTGGTCCCAAAAGTGATGTAGGAGGAAGAGAATGGGGTTTGAGGTCAGAACCCCCTGGGTTTGAGTCTGGGCTCCTCTCAGAAGCAGCACGGAAGTCGTAGGCAAGCCACTCGGGTGCTCAGTGTGGTGATCCGGTCCTTGAAAGACAAGCCTCAGTCTCCCAATCTGAAATGTGGGCATAGCAGCAAACCCGCTGTGGTCACCTCCCAGATTTCAAGGGGACAAGAGCCCGCCTGTGCTCTGTCCACACACTCAAACCCCTGGGGCCAGGCACGGGGGGCCTGCCACATCTTCCCACGGGGCCTTCTGGGGACACCACACTTACCTGCAGACTGATGCTCCAGGGGATCCCAGGCACCATATGAGGGAAGGAGAGCTCTTTGGAGGCTTGAAGATCTTTCGAAGTATCCACTCCGTGAATCTCTTATTTTGGGTGGGGATATAGCAGTTGCCATAGGCTGCGGGGGCGGGGGGACAGGATGGGGAGTGGGTGATAATGGGTGCAGAGTTTCTTTTGGGGGTGATGATGATGTTCTGGAATTAGACATTGGTGATGCTTGCATAACTTGGTGAATATACTAAAATCATGGAATTGTACACTTTAAAAGGGTAAATTTTATATGTCAATTATATCTCAATTTTTAAAAAGATTTCATTTATTTACTTTAGAGATAGAGACAGAGGGCGGGGGGAGGGGCAGAGAGAGAGGGAGAGAGAGTGAATCTGGAGCAGACTCCTCACTGAGTACAGAGCCCGATTTGGGGTTCAATCCCACGATACTGAGATCATGGCCTGAGCCAAAATCAAGAGTTGGATGCTTAACCGACTGAGCCACCCAGGTACCCCAATCATATCTCAATTTTAGAAAATGTTTAAAGTCACAGATTATGAAGGGACAAGACAATCTAAGGGAGAATGAGCAAGGGCAGAGGGGGTGGATGGGGCCAGGGCAGGAGGCTCTGAGGGCCACTGGATGGACTCCAGCTTCTCACTGAGGGACATGGGAGCCAAGGTAGGTTTTGAGCAGAAGAGTGGCATGCTCCCCTACCTTTGGCAAGTTGTGCTGACAATAGAATGGGGGGGGGCAGGTGGGAGCAGGAAGGCCAGTGACCAGGGGCAAGAGGACAGGATTTACAGATGGATTGGCTATGCAGTGTGAGACACAGAGGAAAGTCAAGGATGACCCTGAGATTTGGGCCTGGGAGGATGGCTGCTGCTGGGAGGAGTGGAGTTGCCACTGACTGGGAGGCGTCCAGAGGTCAGTTTGCAATGCCCACAGGGAGGTCGAGAGACCAGCTGGACACATGGCCCTGGCACTTAGGGGTGAGGGGCACCGGGCACATGGATAGTGGTTAAAGCATGAGACGTGATGAGATCCTAGGGACCCATCGAGGCAGAGAGAGGGGGACAGAGAGGACAAAAGCCCAGCCCAGGGT